AAATTCTCACTTGAATTAGTGGTCTGCACCCTTTAGGGGAGATGCAACAGGCAAAATGGCGCCAGGGCTTGGTAGAAGTTGTCGAGAATGAGCGAACAACTATCATCAGTCAAATGAAATTCGTCCGCATGAAATAACGCCGCGGACGACCACTGGATCTGGGGGTGCCAAATAACACCCCCATGAGCGTTTCGAAATAATGAATGAACGTACGCGCGCGTTCAGCGAACGTCGCGTACGCTCGAGGGAACTATGCTTTACGGCGTGAGGGTAAGTTTGGCGGGCAGTAACTCGGAATAAAAAAATGACAGTATGCGGCAGTGCTTCTCTGGTCAAATTGATGCACTGCCGTGCTAGAATACTCAGTAAATGTTTGTGTACAAGCCCCAGGTCGTTGGCGCCAAACTGCAGGATGATGACGTCAGGTAAGATTGGAACTGCCGACCACGCTTCCAACAGGAAATCGGAGAACTGGAACATCTGGAGTTTTCGCCGTCCCATCCAGTGGATATAGGCCAGCCGATTAAGACGCTCTCCCCAGGGCGATGACCCCGCCACCCGAGCACACCAGCACATAGAGCCGTCCCCAATGACCCACACAGTTGGCTTGGCAGGGGCCAATTCTCGCAAGAAAAATGAAAAGAAAATCGAACAACACACGAGCAAAGTGCGTAAGCTCATACAACATGTAGCGTTCAATGGAAAATAGCCGGGGAATCCGAATGTAACGTCGGTAAGCCCCAGACTTCCAACGCCCCAAAATTTTAAAATCATCCTCAGACACACCTGCCGTAGCCGCAGACGTAGCTGCCCCTATGCGAAAAGAATGAGAGGTACATCTGGCGTCTAAAGCCCTATAAACTCAAGGACACGACGGAGTACCGCGACAAACTGGTAACACGTGACAGGACGCCCATCGAAATGTGACAAAAACGGGCCACGGGGGGATGTGGAACAGGCAAAATAGGACAAAGTCGCCCGGACGGGGCACATAATGTTTTGCCGGCTATGCGCTGCTGGGATGGGAACTACATAACCATGACCATATTGATCTGTTTTCGAGTGACGTAGGATAAGTTCGACCCTTAAAGGGGAGTCTTTGACGGTAACATCAGACCGACACAACGGGCTAGAAGATTGGTGGGATCGGGCAGTAAATTCCCCAATGCGAAGGAACCCAAAAAACGCAAGTAAGAAAGCCACTCGAGCAAACGGCCTGCAAGGCTGGGACCATACGACATAAAATATCATAGGCGATACGGCGCCGTTGGTCGCGACGACTACTACGCCTACGACATCCCTCCAGTAAATGTTTGACCAGAAAATGCTTAGTTAAATCAGGATAACTCATTAACTGCAAATTGAAGGAAACCCCCGAGACGTAAGAGGTAATCGTTGTGGGGGAATACCCAGATACCGACAAAAATGCAATAAATCGAACTATCTGAAGCAGGGAGAGGGAGTGCGCGGCGTCGAAACCATGGGTTTGACTAAACCATTGAAAATGATGCCAAGCCGTCTGATAAGACAAGTTCGTGCGGGGGGCCACCGCGTCATGCAAAAAACTCTGGACCTCTAACTGAAGACACTCCACAGGTTGTCGGGCAAGAAAGAGCATCAGCAATGCCATTATCCAGGCGTGACACGTGCTGAGATCGAAACTGAATATTGTATGTGAGACATGTCACCACAAGGCGGCGCACCAAACGCATCATTAAGTGACATTTAGACGTTGGTCTGTTGATGACAGTAACTACAGCCTGATTGTCACACCAAAATAGCACACGTTTATTATGCAATGGGACAGCCCACTGCTGGACCGCTAGCACAATAGGGAATAACTCCAAGCAGGAAATAGAAAGGGACTGACTTTTTACATGCTCGGGCCACCTCCCTTGACACCAATGGACAGCAAAGT